TGTAATGTTTGTTTTCCTCTCGTCTTAAACTCTGCTTTGACTTTGCTTCTCGTCTTTTCCTGTGATAGAAAGCATCAATAAATAAATTGTCCATTGTAACGTCCAGCAGCAGCCTTGATGATGGTCGTTCCCGTCCCCTCTCTCCTCGTTACTATGGAAACAAAATGTCAATCGATGTGGCATCTCCATCCTCATCTCCAACTGTCCTCTCCATCAGGCTTGGTAACCACGGAGACGAAGTAAGAGCAGAGAGGAGAAAGATTTCTGTAGAGGTTCAGATGGACGTGCCGTCTGCTGCTGTGCCTTGCTCAAGGGCTCCTCAAGGGAGAGTAGAGGAAGAAAGCAATGAGAGGAAAGGAAGAAGGGTGAGAGAGAAGGGAAGGACGTAAGGGAGTTCTTAAATAAAGGAGGAGGAGAAGCAGGAAGGCGGGGGGGAGGCAGGGGGAGGCAGGGGGTCACACCGGTAGAAAAGGGCAGAAACATCAAACAGAAGTATGAAAGTTAGAAGCCAACCAAGTTAAAAAGGGAAAGTTTAACTAAATGAGCAGAAGAGGTGGTGGGGAATGACATTCATTTTGGGTTGTTGCAGGTTTTTTGCCTTTCACATTATTATGTGTAGTTGTAAGGAAAGAGAACTGGACGTACAGGGAACGAGGAGAGGAACATGAAGTGAAGGAGAGAGGATGAGACGAGGGAAGGAAAGAAGTAGAGTCGAGGACAACAACCAGCTTCCTTTGCATTATATCTATATCGTATATATGTATCTGTTTAAAGAATAAAAACCACATTCTGATTCATCTTGTTGACTTTTCTCCTTTCACTTCTCTCGATTCGTCTGGTCTCCTCCTCTTTATTTCCTGTTGTCTTCCACCTGATGGTTGTGTTTTCTAGTCTCCTCATGTCCTCCCTGTAGGGTTTCTACATGGTGATACATATGGAACGCTACGGCTCTTCCCTGGATGGGTTCTACTGCAGTGTGTTAGTCTTAATGTCCTCCTTGCTGGCGCCCGCTTGTTCCAAAGCAACAGGAAATTCACTTTACTGCAGCAGAGCTAAAGGCCCAGCGAGCGCCTGGTTGCTTCCCATCGGGAGCTCGGACACAAACGATGTCGAGAGACGAGCTGTCTGAAGCGTTTCAGCGACTCTTCACGGCTCCTCCGGTGAATACGCACAAACTACCAGAGGCTCTTTTTCACCTCGGCTGAAAAGCAAAAGGTTTCGATATTTCGATGAAACATTGATGTGTTGATCTTTAGCACCGAATCTTTAATCGACTAGAAAACAACAGCTTCTTATTTGTCCTTTCAGGAACATCATAAAGAAACGTGAGAAATACCTCTCTCACGCACACGCACACACACACACACACACACACACACACACACACACACACACACACACACACACACACACACCCTTTCTGATAGAGAAAAAAAGTGTGCGTGCGTGTGTGTGTGTGTGTGTGTGTGTGTGTGTGTGTGTGTGTGTGTGCGTGTGTGTGTGTGCGTGCGTGTGTGCGTGCGTGTGTGGTTTGGGATCAGAGGAGCAGCAGGGGAACGCTGGTATTTTTGTTGTCATTTATTGTCAGCTGTTTTTTAGTCAGTGACAAAAACAACATGAAATGATTGATCATTTCTTTGTTTTTGAAGCCGTTTATATTTCAGGTCGAGACCTTAAAAAAGACTGACGCACATACAAGAAATATCTCACTTTAAATGGCAAAAGTAGAGCGACTCAATGGTCATACTCGGGTACAGGCCTGTTTCTGTCCTCACACACACACACACACACACACACACCACACACACACACACACACACCACACACAGAGGGTAACTGTATTAATATGAGTCTGTTTTGTGTCAAGCAGGTCTTAATAGGATCATTGTGAGAGACATGGAGCTGTCTGTCAGTCTAAGTTCATTAACTGATGATAGATGACCAGCAGTGTGTGTGTGTGTGTGTGTGTGTGTGTGTGTGTGCGTGTGCTTGTGTGTGCGTGTGTGAGTGAGAGCTGGGAGAGCATGTGTGCTCTTAGGAGTGCTTGTGTGTAAATCTTCTCTCTGGTGTAATTTATAGTCCTTATCAGGTGCAGGACATATGGACGCCTCCTTCTCTGCTCCTCCTCCACGTCTTTTAACTCCCTCTTCCTCTCCTCTTCCTCTTCCTCTCCTCTCCTCTCCTCTCCTCTCCTCTTTTCCAATCTCACTAGTCTTACTTTTCCATATTGGAGGACGCTGTCTTTAATTGTGCTCCTCTTCATCCTCTTCCTTTCCATCTTCACTCCTCTGGCGTCCACAGTCAAACTCTCCTGCTCCTCTTTCATCTCAGCTCTCCTCCTGTTTTCACATGTTCACAGGAGATGAGCACTGGAGGGTTAGGAAATGAACAGCTTCTCCATCATACACAATAACAGGTCATTTTCTTATAATATAGTGTTTTTAGGCTCATCATATCAGTAACTCCTCCCATCCTCCTCCACGTCTACATTCTATTCTATTCTGTTCTGTTCTGTTCTGTTCTGTTCTGTTCTATTCTATTCTATTCTATTCTGTTCTATTCTGTTCTGTTCTATTCTATTCTATTCTATTCTATTCTATTCTATTCTATTCTGTTCTGTTCTGTTCTGTTCTATTCTATTCTATTCTATTCTATTCTATTCTATTCTGTTCTGTTCTGTTCTATTCTATTCTATTCTATTCTATTCTATTCTATTCTATTCTGTTCTGTTCTGTTCTGTTCTGTTCTATTCTATTCTATTCTATTCTGTTCTGTTCTGTTCTGTTCTGTTCTGTTCTGTTCTGTTCTGTTCTGTTCTGTTCTATTCTATTCTATTCTGTTCTGTTCTGTTCTGTTCTGTTCTGTTCTGTTCTATTCTATTCTATTCTATTCTATTCTATTCTGTTCTGTTCTGTTCTGTTCTGTTCTGTTCTGTTCTGTTCTGTTCTATTCTATTCTATTCTATTCTATTCTATTCTGTTCTGTTCTGTTCTGTTCTGTTCTGTTCTGTTCTGTTCTATTCTATTCTATTCTATTCTATTCTATTCTATTCTATTCTGTTCTGTTCTGTTCTGTTCTGTTCTGTTCTGTTCTGTTCTGTTCTATTCTATTCTGTTCTGTTCTGTTCTGTTCTGTTCTGTTCTGTTGGTCTTACTCAAAAGTCTTTCTGTGACTGAACCTGAATCATTACTAGAAGAGACGCACACACCACACAGACACACACATCACACACACGCACTCGAGCACAGACACACACATCACACACACGCACGTCGAGCAGACACACACACACCGCATAGACACACACACCACACAGACGCACTCGAGCACAGACACACACATCACACACACGCACTCGAGCACAGACACACACACCACACAGACACACACACATCACACACACACACCGCACAGACACACACATCACACACACGCACTCGAGCACAGACACACACACACGCATAGACACACACACCGCACAGATACACACACATCACACACACACACCGCACAGACACAGACACACACACTCGAGCAGACACACACACAGACACACACACATCACACCGCATAGACACACACACATAGACAGACACACACACACACGCGCACAGACACACACACACACACACGCATAGACACACACACATAGACACACACACACACACACACATAGACACACACGCGCGCGCGCATAGACACACACACACGCGCATAGACACACACACATAGACACACACACACACACCTCACAGACACACAGACACACACACATCACACACACACACCGCACAGACACGGACACACACACTTGAGCAGACACACAGACACACACACATCACACACACACACCGCACAGACACGGACACACACACTTGAGCAGACACACAGACACACACACCGCACAGACACACACACAGACACACACACACACCGCACAGACACGGACACACACACTCGAGCACAGACACACACACAGACACACACACACACCAGCACAGACACACACACACACTCGAGCACAGACACACAGACACACACACAGTCACACACACACCAGCGCAGACACACACACAGACACACACACAGTCACACACACTCGAGCACAGACACACACACACCAGCACAGACACACACACAGACACACACACTCGAGCACAGATAAGCTGACATTCCAAATAAGTCGACAATGAATGTCAGCGGCTCACACACACACGCACACAATGGAGAGCCTATTGAGGAGAGATTTGTACACTGCGATGCACGAGACGACTGTGTGTAATGTCCAGTGTGCGTGTGTGCGTGTGTGTGTGTAAGGCCGTGCTGCGTTTGCACATTTCAGTTGACCTACATGAACCGATCTGATCTGCGTGTCATGTGACTCCCTTCTTCTCTCTATCAGGTCTGTCAACTAGTCGTCGTGTCACAGAACCCAACGGGTTGTTGGTCTCCTGGTTGATGTGCACCACTGTGGTTGAGGTTGCTTAACTTCAGCAGGGTGCCAGTCCTTCATTTGGGTTTTATTGTGATTGATTAACCGAGCAGGGTATTTATTTGGCACCTTCGTCGTCCCTCATCAGACGCTGCTATGAGCGGTCCCTGACCCGTCGTATCAATGATGTTAAATCACATGGGTCATGGAGGGAGATTGATCTACCCTCCAGTAGTCGACTAGAGACCCTGTACACTAATATTAAAGTAGTATTGAGTGTCACTCACATCATCATTTCAGTGGTTAAAATGTGGATTTGAAGTGAGTGTCTCTGAAACTGGTTTGAATCATTTTGTTCAACTAATTGGAAAATACTGTGTTTCCCTACATTATTAGATGATGCCTGATGGTTTCATTATTCCATAATGATAACTGTAGAGTTTTCCTGTACACGCTGGACTCACCTCATCATGAATGAACAAACAGAAGAATTCAAATATTTCCCTCTCCATGATCAACTCTGCTGTGTGGGCTCTTCTCAATGTACCTTCATTTCTTCATCTTACAGATATGGAGGAGAGAAGCAGCGCAGGCTCATGGCCGAGTGGCAGCCGCTCTTCCAAGGTAACCCCGACTAACTAACTAACTAGTTACTTTAGTTACTGTTAAATGTAACAGCATTTAAAACATGTACTATTATTGTCATTATTATATCAAACTGCCAAAAGCTGCTGGTACTATCACCACCATAATGAATCCCCTACTTACTGGCCTCGATGGAAGAGGAGATACGATTACATCTGGATCTGTATCTCATACATCTGGTTTGTCAATCGAGTCAGCTGTCAAATCTCTTATACATCTTTGCTGTATTTACAATTGGCTTTTTAAAATGAACCAGTGCTTCTATGACTCGTGAAGTGGTCATGGCTGAATGGGCTACACGTTCTACATTTTGTACATGTACATGAGAACAGGAACCTTCCAACAAATTAGGTAGTGAGGAAGGTGGAGTCAGTGCCGTCAGCCTAAACATGGTTATTTAAGCCTTTGATTTAATAAACTTGTGTTTTTGCTGTTTGTTCTTATAACTATATATGCATTATGTGTGTTAGAATGTAGCCGTTACGCTTAATCAAATACAAAGAAATGTCAGAATAAGCTGCTTTTACCGTCCGGTCATTGCAGACAAGAGGAAAACCCACGTTGTGCACTTCAGAAAGCACAACTCTGCTGGGCCTTTGCACGTGAATGTGTTATTCCAGTAATCTACGTGTCAAACATGGACCATTAACATCGGGATATGACTGGATATTTACCAGATATTTACCGGATCTGAGACGTGAATGAAACCCTCTCTACCTCCGTCCCGTCGTCCCAGTAGTAGCAGCAGCTTCTGAAGGGCCGCTGACTGCTACACGGTCTGTGGCCCCTTGGGCCCCCGTTGGCTGGTCACCAGGGCGCCGCGGGGGCCGCTGCTCAGGCCCGCTCTGTGTTTGGCATTACAGATGTGTTGTCTGCGACCCGTTCCGTTATATCTGGGGCCGAAGGAGCCACGTTGGATCAGGAAATATAACTGTGGCCTGTGTTTTTTTTCAGAATTATGCAGACGGGTCGCAGTACATGGCGTCACACTGACAGCCTGTCACCTCCGTACGCCGCCTCCAGCCGGCTCACAGGTACGTCATTTATTATTTTACAATATCTGGTTTGAGTGTGTGCGTGCGTATGTGCGTGTGTGCGTGCGTGTGTGTGTGCGTGTGTGCGTGCGTGTGTGTGTGTGTGTGTGTGCGTGCGTATGTGCGTGTGTGCGTGCGTGTGTGTGTGTGTGTGTGTGTGCGTGCGTGTGTGCGTGCGTGTGTGTGCGCTCTGAGAATTAGTGAACCACTATGGTACACTGGAGGAGACGGTCATCTGGCGTGCAGTTTCTCTCCCTCACCCTCGGCGCGCTGTGTGGAAAACGCCAGGCATGTGCTCATTTACCCATGATGCTCTCTGCCTCTGGCTCTCTCCGATGTGGTGCCAGTTGTGAGCAAATGGCCACTGACACAGATTATCTGCCCGTCTCTCACACACACACACACACACACACACACACACACACACTCCGAGCTTAATTACCTTTGAATGGCTGCATCACATATAGAAGATGTCAGCTGAGCTCTCTGACTACCTGCTCGCTTCCTCTTGGGTTCTGATCACCGTCTCCCTTGTGAGTCATTAGACGTTAGGCCTTTTATTCTTAAACCAAATAGAGTCAACGCATGTGAGCATTGTGTGTGTGAGCATTGTGTGTGTGAGCATTGTGTGTGTGAGCATTGTGTGTGTGAGCATTGTGTGTGTGAGCATTGTGTGTGTGAGCATTGTGTGTGTGAGCATTGTGTGTGTGAGCATTGTGTGTGTGAGCATTGTGTTGGGTCGACCAACACCCATCGCAAACAAAAGTTTCACAACTCTCGCCGTGAATGTTTGAGTTTCTTTCATGTTATTTGCAGTTGACGCAGTTGTTGCCAATTGTAAATCTTAAATCTCAGTCAAACAAACATGTTTCAAGAAAACAAACCAAATGCTGTGACTGTGTTGCATGTGGATAAAGTCAATGTGAACAGTGGTGCCGTCATGTTTGCATTACAAAATGTCTATTCACATGATAGTATATACGGTCACGTGCTCATACAGTGTGCGAGTTCAGCACTCTTATGTCTGGTGAACGAACCCGTCTGAGCCCGTTTGTGTCTGGGCTGATCAGGACCTCCCATAATGCCTCCTGCTCCGCTGGGTGTGGAGGTCCTGGGGATGTACTGGCCCGTCTCTCTACCCGGCCTTGTGATGGGGTCGGTGTGGTGAGGTCAGGTCTTTTCTACCCAGAGGAACCAGAATCTGCCGCCTCTCTCCACCGCGGCCCGCTTGATGGTGGCGTATCCTTCTCTCTGTTCCTTCCTCTAGTACATGATCCTCCTTCCTAGTTTTTCTGACGCTGGGGAGGAGGTTGTGGTCCTGTGAGCAAGATGCCAGGCCTCTCACCCCCCCTATGTAGTACGCCTGTGGGTAGACGTGTGCTGCCTTTCTGGTTTCAGTCTTTCCACTGGAATCACAAACCTGGAGGGAGTTTTTTTCCCATCCATCAACAATTTTTCCGCGCACCGGATTATAAAGCGCACCTTCAATGAACGACCTATTTTAGAACATTTTTCATATATCGGGCGCACCGGATTATAAGGCGCATAAGATACTGCAGTCAAGCGTTTGACGGCGGGTGGATGGGGGGGGATGTGGGGAGGTGGAGACGTTGCTTTCAGGGTCCGATCGATGCTGCGAGGTTCATAGCACAATACCGCCATTATTTAGGGTGACCAGACGTCCTCTTTTCCCCGGACACGTCCTCTTTTTGGGACCTAAAAAATGCGTCCGGCAGGGATTCCAAAAACATCCGGGATTTTTCTTTGTCCTGATATTTGTGTTTCTCTGGGTCTTTCACAAACTAGTTATTACGCCCTTACAAGTTTTGGAAATGGTGTCTCCCTTACGTTCCACCTTCTTCATTGGACAACTGATCTCAATGTTGCCAGATACACGATAATTATCCATCCGCCTCGGCCGTGATGCTTCGGAAGCTGAGTGCATGACATGCAGAGCAGGCGCTTACGTGTCAGTGGCAAATAAAGGTGGCAGCGATTTGGAAGCTCTGCAAAACACAAAAGTGCAGCAAGAGGAGAGCGCTCATCGAGTAAAGTGACCGACTTTTCGTGAGTAAAACAGACACTTGTGTTACGGCTGCAGAGGTACCCTTGCTTTTCATACAATAAAGCATCACAGCAGCTACACATCAATGGACTGCACATCTGGGTTTGCTAAGAAAGATTTTCCCAGATTCGGTGACAACTCAAAAAATCCGCGACGAAGTCCACAAACTCAAATCTGGTCACCCTCCATTATTAAAAGGAAGAATGTTTACGAGAGAACGGATCAGATTGAAGAGCTTTTGTGGGAAGAAATGCGTAAATATGAGCGCTTGTACAAGCCGTCATTGGCGTGACTCTCAAGGTCGTCTTCAACAGAACACGTGACTCCACCTGTTGCTGCTGGAGTGAATCGCTCTGCAACACACG